GGAATGATTGGTGAGGATTTAAATTTTCTCAGAGCTTCCAACATGACTCTTATCCTCCTGGGGAAAGAAGATTCGAAGTATAATGTTAACCACTGCCCTGTGTAACTGCTCCCATTGTCATAAAAAGAAATACCAAGTAGTCCCTGTGTTCCAGATAGGCTGTCTGTCTGTCTATCTACTAGAAAACTGGTAAAGGTGGGCCGGCAGGTGGTGTGGACCTCAAAGCTGATGGGGGTCCTACAGGGTTGATGGAGGGGAGGGTTGCTTTCTCTAAATAAACTTTCTTCTCTCTCTCTCTCTCTCTCTCTCTCTGTTTCTGTCTGGTGAATGCAAGTGCCCTGTAGGAAAACAAAACAAAACCCTGTTGGAGCACAGTCTCTCTCTATCTAAATAAATAACTAAACTTTTGAAAAGTTCATAGAGAGGGGCCAGCAGGTGGCATGGTGGTTAAGGTGCTGGACTCCCATATGGCTGACTATAGTTTGAATCCTGGACCTGGCAGCTTGCTTTGTCATTTTCTCTCTGTTTCTCTCTGGTGGGCAAATTTTAAGAAAATAATAATAATAAATAAAATTAAGTAAATGCATTTTTTAAAGAATTATTTATTGGGACCAGCAGTTAGCGTAATGGCTATGTCACTGGACTCCCATGTAGTCGACTGCAGTTCACGTCCCGGACCCAGTGGCTGAAAACTCACGCTGGGCACGTGTGCGTGCATGCCCAAGATCCCAAGAGGAGAACGGAGGAGAATGGAGGAGAAGGGATTGCAGCATGGCCATCCCCCCTGGGGGGTGATTTCTCGCTTTCTATCTCTCTGTCTCTCTCTGTCTGCTGGCGAGCACACACGCCCTATAGCGAAAAACCTCTCCAAAAAGAAAAAAAAAACAAGAATTATTTATTTATGTAATTCCACTTTTTATTATTATTTTTTAATTTGACCAGAGAGAGAGAGAAAGGAAAAGCAAGAAAGCAAGCCGCCAGGTCCAGGACTCAAACCGTGGTCAACCATGTGGGAATCCAGAACCTTTAATCACCATGCTACTTGCTGGTCCGTAATATGCACTTTTGAAAGACCCTCCCACCTTTATGTGTCCCAGCCTCAGCTCTGTGTCTATTTCAGATAAAATCTCCCTTGACTTCCTACAACAGCTCCTTGGTTTTTGTTTTGGTTTTTTTGTGTGTGTGTTTGCAGGATTGTTTTTTTTTTTTTAGGATGATTTGTTGCTACAGGGCGTGTGTGTTCACCAGAGCGACAGAAAGTGAAAAATCACCCTGGGGGGGATGGCCACACCACAATTCCTTCTCCTCCATTCTCTTCTCAGGATTTTGGTGTTTTAATATGCCAGGGCTAGGACTTGAACTGTAGTCGACTATGTGAGTCCAGCAATGGAACCTGTGTTTGCAGGTTTATTTTAACCCAAAATGATCTCCTCTTACTAGGGCCACTATCTCAGTGTATTTTATTGTATTTGTTTATTCATTTATTTTTTATTTTGCTTTAAGATATGTGCACTTATCAGAAAGAGAAAGAGAGGCATGGTGAGAATCACCCACTGTGGCGATGGCCCCACCACATTTCCTCCTTCTCCGTTCTCTTCTTGGAATTTTGGGCATGCACACACATATTTTCCAAACTGCTGGGTTGGAGACTCGAACTGCTCCGTCAGACCTGTGGAATCCAGCCACCTCAACCACCATGCCAGCCACCAGCTGACCCCACAATGCATTTTATTTCCTTTCGCTAAGTGTTTTTAGATTGCTCATTGTGTTTTCCTCACAGATGACTTCAGCTGGTTTTGTGAAACTATTTCTTTAAAATAACTGTAGGAATGACCCTTTAGGCACCGGCATTCCCACTGCCCAATTCCAAATATAATGAAGTGCTATCAACGCCCCAAAACACACCTGCTCTGGCACACGAGTCGCTAATGAGTATCTGAGGCTAGCATTTGCATAGGTTTAAAGTGGCAGGGATGCCTTTTTCTGAACACCTTTGTGTTTTTAAGAATCTATTCACAGTTAAGGGGGAAAAAATGTTCGAAAGTGAGCCATTAGCACATTATTGAATTCTTGTTTCCAGCCGACAGCTGTGTTGTGCCTCATGTAATAGGATATATTTACTGATGCCTCAATGCTGTTCTTTTGATTTCCACGAATTCGACACACTCAGCACTCGAGCGTGCATGCCGCATGTCGTTTCTTACATTCATTATATGTTCCCCACTTCCAAATCATAAAAGCCTCACTAGTCTCTCTCTCTCTCTCTCTCTCTCTGTTTCTGTCTGGTGAATGCAAGTGCCCTGTAGGAAAACAAAACAAAACCCTGTTGGAGCACAGTCTCTCTCTATCTAAATAAATAACTAAACTTTTTAAAAGTTCATAGAGGGGGGCCAGCAGGTGGCATGGTGGTTAAGGTGCTGGACTCCCATATGGCTGACTATAGTTTGAATCCTGGACCTGGCAGCTTGCTTTGTCATTTTCTCTCTGTTTCTCTCTGGTGGGCAAATTTTAAGAAAATAATAATAATAAATAAAATTAAGTAAATGCATTTTTTAAAGAATTATTTATTGGGACCAGCAGTTAGCGTAATGGCTATGTCACTGGACTCCCATGTAGTCGACTGCAGTTCACGTCCCGGACCCAGTGGCTGAAAACTCACGCTGGGCACGTGTGCGTGCATGCCCAAGATCCCAAGAGGAGAACGGAGGAGAATGGAGGAGAAGGGATTGCAGCATGGCCATCCCCCCTGGGGAGTGATTTCTTGCTTTCTGTCTCTCTGTCTCTCTCTGTCTGCTGGCGAGCACACACGCCCTATAGCGAAAAACCTCTCCAAAAAGAAAAAAAAAACAAGAATTGTTTATTTATGTAATTCCACTTGTTATTATTATTTTTTAATTTGACCAGAGAGAGAGAGAAAGGAAAAGCAAGAAAGCAAGCCGCCAGGTCCAGGACTCAAACCGTGGTCAACCATGTGGGAATCCAGAACCTTTAATCACCATGCTACTTGCTGGTCCGTAATATGCACTTTTGAAAGACCCTCCCACCTTTATGTGTCCAAGCCTCAGCTCTGTGTCTATTTAAGATAAAATCTCCCTTGACTTCCTACAACAGCTCCTTGGTTTTTGTTTTGGTTTTTTTGTGTGTGTGTTTGCAGGATTTTTTTTTTTTTTTTAGGATGATTTGTTGCTACAGGGCGTGTGTGTTCACCAGAGCGACAGAAAGTGAAAAATCACCCTGGGGGGGATGGCCACACCACAATTCCTTCTCCTCCATTCTCTTCTCAGGATTTTGGTGTTTTAATATGCCAGGGCTAGGACTTGAACTGTAGTCGACTATGTGAGTCCAGCAATGGAACCTGTGTTTGCAGGTTTATTTTAACCCAAAATGATCTCCTCTTACTAGGGCCACTATCTCAGTGTATTTTATTGTATTTGTTTATTCATTTATTTTTTATTTTGCTTTAAGATATGTGCACTTATCAGAAAGAGAAAGAGAGGCATGGTGAGAATCACCCACTGTGGCGATGGCCCCACCACATTTCCTCCTTCTCCGTTCTCTTCTTGGAATTTTGGGCATGCACACACATATTTTCCAAACTGCTGGGTTGGAGACTCGAACTGCTCCGTCAGACATGTGGAATCCAGCCACCTCAACCACCATGCCAGCCACCAGCTGACCCCACAATGCATTTTATTTCCTTTCGCTAAGTGTTTTTAGATTGCTCATTGTGTTTTCCTCACAGATGACTTCAGCTGGTTTTGTGAAACTATTTCTTTAAAATAACTGTAGGAATGACCCTTTAGGCACCGGCATTCCCACTGCCCAATTCCAAATATAATGAAGTGCTATCAACGCCCCAAAACACACCTGCTCTGGCACACGAGTCGCTAATGAGTATCTGAGGCTAGCATTTGCATAGGTTTAAAGTGGCAGGGATGCCTTTTTCTGAACACCTTTGTGTTTTTAAGAATCTATTCACAGTTAAGGGGGAAAAAATGTTCGAAAGTGAGCCATTAGCACATTATTGAATTCTTGTTTCCAGCCGACAGCTGTGTTGTGCCTCATGTAATAGGATATATTTACTGATGCCTCAATGCTGTTCTTTTGATTTCCACGAATTCGACACACTCAGCACTCGAGCGTGCATGCCGCATGTCGTTTCTTACATTCATTATATGTTCCCCACTTCCAAATCATAAAAGCCTCACTAGATAGCAGAGGCCTGGAGTCATAAACACTTCATTACACATGCTTCCCTTGTTTCTGCAAACTCACTGGATTAAAATCTTCCATTTATTGAAACATCTTTGAACCTTCCACGAGAGGTTTTTGCACAATTGTTGGATTGGTGTGGCAGGACGGAAGGAATGTTGGAGAGACACTCTGAGTATCCAAGAAATGTTAAAAGGTTATAACTGATATAGGAAGAAAAATAATGCCAAGAAAGAAAAGCAGGAGTGTATTACATACACACGCCCAGTGTCCAGTCATCCCTTGGAATCCACAGGGAACGTTTCAGGACTCCTCCCCCTGCAAGATACCAAAATTCACAGATGTTCAAGTCCCTTATAGGAAATGGTATAGTGTTTGCATAGAACCTACACATATCCTCCTGTGTACTTTTTAAAAATTATTGTTTAATTAATTTATTTATTATCATTATTTTGTTTGCTATAGTACATATGCATTCACCAGAGGGAGACAGACAGAGAGAGAAAGAGAGCAAGAAGGAAAGTGAGAAAGCAACCCACCAGGTCTGGGATGCAAACCATGGTCAGCCATGTGGGAGTCCAGCACCTTAACTACCACGCCACCTGCCAGCCCCCGTATGTTTTTTTAATATCTATTTTATTTTATTATTATTACTTTTTAATTTGACCAGAGAGAGAGAAAATGAGAAAGCAGACCACCAGGACCAGAACTTGAATTGCGATCAGTCACGTGGGAGTCCAGCACCCCAATCACCATGCCACCTGCCAGCCCCCTCCTGTATAGTTGTTTTTGTTTTTGTTTTTTGAAGAGGTTTTTGCTATAGGCACGTGTGCTCGCCAGACAGACAGAGAGAGACAGAGACAGAAAGTGAGAAATCACCCCCCAGGGGGGATGGCCATGCCACAATCCCTTCTCCTCCATTCTCCTCTCAGGATCTTGGGCACGTACGCACACACGCCCAGCGTGAGTTTTCAGCCACCGGGTCTGGGATGCAAACCGCGGTTGACTACAGGGGAGTCCAATGACATAGCCGTTATGCTAACTGCTGGCCCCCTCCCCCTGTATTCTTAAAAAAAACAAAAATTATAGTGAGCACATGTGAGAGCGAGAGCAACCCCAGCTTTTCTGTGACCCTTGACAGCACCTCATCAGCTCCTCAGGATCTTGGGCACCCATGCGCGTAGGCTTGGCGTGTTTTTAGGCCGACGCAGGTAGCTGAATCTGCGGTCAGCCAGGCGGCCTCCAGCCTCGCAGGGTGTTTGTCTTCCTGCTGTGCATGGAGGCTGGGCCCTTTCCGTATATGTCAAATCACCTCTAGATCACTTACAATACCAAGGCAATATAAGTGCTGTGTAAATAGTTGCTACACTGCACTGCTTTTTGTATATGTTTGGGTTTGTTGTTGTTATATGTATATGTGTATTATTCGGTTGGCTTTTTTTTCCCGTTGTTTTGTTTGTTTTTCCTGAATATTTTTGATCCAGGGCCGTTTGGATCTGCAGATGTGGAAGCTGTGGATTCAGGGGCCTCATGTAATATTCTCTGCAGCCTCCTAGTGCCGTCAGTGTCACCTTAAGAAACCACTTCAACCCTTTGCCTCCAGTCCAGCTTCTCACGCCCACTATGTTCCATTCTCGCTTGGGTCTCTTGTTTCGTTCTTTCGATAATAGTTGACTAAGCGGCTTTTTTTCTTTTCAGGATTTTGCCATAGAGCATGTGCGCTAGCCAGAGAGAGAGACAGTGTGAAGGAAAGTGAGAAATCATCCCCCATGAGGCATGGCCACATCAAAATCCCGTCTCCATTCTCTTCCTTGGATTTTGAGCATACATGCACATGTGCCCGGCATGAATTTCCAGTCACCATGCTAGGATTGAAGTCAGCCACGTGGGAGTCCAGTGTCCCAATCACCATGCTATCTACTGGCCCTAAACGGCTTTTTAAAAATTTTTCCTTCTGTTACATGAAGGTCAAGCCTAGAAGGATATTTTCTTGTCTGTATCCCACAGGTTCATTTATTTTAAATGAATCAATGTTTGGGGCATTCCATCAGAGAAGAGGGAATGTTAAGTGCCCTTTGCTCAGAAGTGAGTGGCCACCCAGAAAAGTGTTCTTGATTGCCAACAATTACGACCTCCTGGCTCCAGTGAGACACACAACCTCTCACAAATGAAAAGAAGACGCTGTTGTAGTTAAAGATAACTGGAGAGAAAAACCTCAAGGTGATTAGCCTGCAGATTCATTCGAATAACTGCTGTGTGCCTGCCAAGTAGTACCATTAGTCCCTACCCATCCCAGCCCAGCTCTCAGATAAGATGAAGCAAGTACATGCGTGTTGTAGAAAGGGCTTGCAGTGAGGCCAGTGCCATAACCTACTGGTTCATGGCGCTAGACCCCACATGGCCAATCATGTTTAATTCCAGGCCCTCATAGCTTGAAAAACACACCAGGCACATGTGTGTGTGCACCCAAAAATCCCAACAGGATGGAGAAATGGAGGACAAGAGATTGTAGCATAAACACAGCCCACTGAGGAGGTGCTTTCTCCCTCTCTCCCCCTCTCTTTCTCTGGTGAGTGCATACACCCTATGGCAGTTTTTGGGGTTTTTTTTGGGGGGTGGGGTAGGGGCAGCTGTGGATAGCCGGTGGCATGATGGTTAAGGTGGCTGGGTCCCACATGACTGACTGTGCAGTTCAAATCCTAGACCTGGCGGATCGAGAGACACACCAGACACACATGCATGTGTGCTCAAAATCCCAAGAGGAGAATGGTTGAGAAGGGATTGAGACTTGTCCGTCCCCACTGGGGGATGCTTTCTCTCTCTCTCTCTCTCTCTCTCTCTCTCTCTCTCTGTATCTCTGGCATGTGCACATGCCCTATAGCAAATAAAGTGGGGGCTGCATCTGGGATGAGTAAACACAATGTCTGTGTATGTTGGGCTGTAACTGTTCAACACATGGGGATGGGGACAGAGGGATGGAGCAGTCTAATCACTGATATTCCCAGAATTGAGAACAACCTATTTTCTGAGAGTTGTAATCAAATATGCAATTATTTCAACTTCTTCCTTTTACTTTCTAGGTGGTCCGAGACATTCTGCTGATTGGACATAGACAGGCTTTTGCCTGGGTTGATGAGTGGTATGGTAAGTCAACTCCCCTGAAATAACTCAGAGAACAACTTCCTAACATACTGGCTTGGACTTTCAGTCCATCTGGCTTCAACTGCTAGAAGGACAACTACAAAGGCAGAGCTGCTACTTCCTGTATTGGAAATAGCCCTGTCCTCTGAGCATATGAAGGGGTAATTATAGAAGCTTGGCCTAAAATAAGCACAGTTATTGACTAAGTAGGACCTCAGTGTGTTTGATGCTTGCATAGCTGATACACAGGACTTCATCATTCTCTGTTGGATGGGTTTGAAACCCATTCTAATTTATCCCAAACTTTGATTCAAGATCAAAGCTGTCTGAAGCCTCATGTCAAGAAAAAGCAGCCCTTTGATTAGAGAACACTTGAAACAATCACTCACCAAATACGTAGATTCTGTAAGAATTCGAGGGTTGTCAGGGACATAGGTACCCAGTCACCCCAGTCAAAACTGTGTTCTGGCTTATTCTCACGAGATGGGGAGAGTAAAAGGAGTCTCGCAGACTTCCAGTAAGTGAAAGCGAGGTTTGCTTCATCCCATGATGGATGAACCGCCTCTGCAGATCCTCAGCGCTGTTCCATCCACATGAATCTTCTGCATTCCCAGAATCAGGCATCAGAGGGCTGCTGTCCTTGGCTATAAATAGAAATGAACACACCCAACTGGTGACTTAGGTTAGATCTGATTTTCAGGTCGATTTTCTAATGAAATGCCCTCCTCCTTGGCCTTTCCTAAGTCACATTAAATTTGTTCCGAGTGTAACCTAGATTGCATTTTGGTCTTTTTTCCACCAGTTTCCTCCCTTTTCTTAGCAGAAAGCACCAAATTTTAAAGTAAAAGGATCCATCGGATGGAATGGGTAGAGATAGTGATTATAATTAATGTTGTTAGCTATTTTCTGAGCCACATTTTAAAAAGCATAGGTCCGTGGGCTATGGGCTTTTCTTTTCTTTCTCTTCTTTTCTTTTTTTTTTTCAATTTTCCCAGATCTGCACCTTCCAAAGAGCAAATGCATCTTCCTGGGTTTGTCCAAATGAAAATGATCACTTATGCTTTTGGGTGTTCATTTTTTTTTTCATTTTTTAAAACGAATTATTTATTTTAAAAAAGAATTACTTATTTTTAATTTTATTACCCATTAATTTATTATTTTAAAAAACTTTGACCAGAGGGACCAGCAAGTTGGCATAATGGCTATGTCACTGGACTCCCATGTAGTCGACCATGGTTTGAGTCCCAGACCGGGTGGCACACAGCGAGTACATGTGGGTGTGTGCCCAAGATCCTGAGAGGAGAATGGAGGAGATGGGATTGCAGCATGGCCATCCGCCCCCCAGGGGGGTGATTTCTCACTTTCTGTCTCTCTGTCTCTCTCTGTCTTTTCAGCAAGCACATCCACCCTATAGCAAAAACCTCTCCAAAATAAATTTTTTTTTGACCAGAGAGAGAAAGAAAGTGAGAAAGCAAACCACCAGGTCTAGGACTCAAACCGTAGTCACCCATGAGGGAGTGTCCATCAACTTAACCACCACGCCACCTGCTGTTCCCTCTTTTTCTCTTCTATGAGTGAGAGAGAAAAGAGCTATCACTCCCAGTCGTTGCTGGACAGCACTCACCACCACTTCAGCCAGCCCTGGATTACGGGTGACCTCTCATACACCGAGTGCTCAGGGTCTCTCCCAACTCGTATTCCTCAGAGCTCCAACACCGAGGGAATATCTAAAGGATATTCAAAGAATAATGGGCCCCAGCTGATTGAAGTTTGGCACGAATACAGGCAGCTCAAGGGCCAAAAAGCTGCCACTTTGAAGACCTGGAGACAGGCAGTTTGGATAGGTTTCTCTCTGGTGCCAGAATGCGGTAGAAAACGCAGCAGCAGAAACATCAGCCAGGTGCTCACCAGAAGGACAAAAGACGGCACGGCTGTTGATCAGAAAAGAGGGTTTGGTAAGAGGCAGACTGCGGGAAGGAGAAAAAGGTGGGTGGTTATTTGGTAAGTGAATGGTCAGGTCTGGAGAACAGGGTGACACTCGCATCGCAGCTGAGCCTGGGATGATGGTGAGACAAGGAATTTTCATTAAAAAATGTTTTTAAATTCTCAGATTTTTATAGGACCCTAAAGCTAGAATAATGCACGAAATGAAATGGGAGCTCTCCCGTCTAGAGACCTCAAGGAGAACACACAGCTATTTATCTGGCAGAAGTTATATGGAGGCAGTTATAACTCAGAGTCTATGGACCCAAAAGCCCTTTCTGCGTCTGCATGCACAGAAAGCACGGGTTTTAGAAGACGCCCAGTACTCCCCAGAGTCGGTCTCCACCCGCTGTGTACATAATCACAGCCACAACCAAAACAAGCAGCCTTTTCACCCAGCGAGGGGTCTGAGAACCACACCATCAATTTCACGTAAACTACTGCAGGCATCCCACCCCCAGCCGAGCTCCTAGCCAGGGAAACAGTGGCTCCTTCATTATGGAGATGCAGACTCTCGTTCAGTCAAATAAAGAGAAATGGCCCCTCTCCACAGAGCACCCCGACTCGATGCAGTGCTGGGATCCGTGGGCCTTTCAGATGAATGGGCATGTCAGTGTTTCTGAGGCCACGTGTCCACCAGGATAGCCCTTCAGTTTGGGCCACCTAAAGTTGTTTGTTTTGCTCTGGTCTGTACAGACCCAGTGAGGTTCCCATTAGGAACCATGGGAAGGATCCAAAGTACAGCAACTTGCCTTAGCTGTAGCTGATAGCACTGCTTCTCAAGTACGACCCTGGGTGCTTGTTAGATACTTGCTCCATCAGCATCCCTTGGGCACTGGTTACAAATGTAGATTCTCAGGACCAGCAGATGGCATAGTGGTTATGTGTCAGGAGCCCCCACTTAGTCAACCACGGTTCGAGTCCTGGACCCAACAGCTTAAAACCATACCAGGCATGTGTGCATGTGTACCCAAAATCCTGAAAAAAGAATAGAGGAGAAGGGGTTGTGGCATGACCATCCCCGCTGGGGGTGACCCCCCACTTTCTGTCTCTCTGTTTCTCTGGCAAGCACGCATGCCCTATAGGGGAAAAAAAAAAATCTGTCTACAAAAAAAGAAGAAGAAAAGAAGAAAGGAGGGACCAGCAATTAGTGTAATGGCTATGTCGCTGGACTTCCACATAGTCGACTGTGGTTCGAGTCCCAGACCCGGTGGCTTAAACTCACGCCAGGCACGTGTGTGTGCGTGCCCAAGATCCCAAGGGGAGAATGGAGGAGAAGGGATTGCAGCGTGGCCATCCCCCCTGGGGGGTGATTTATCTCTTTCTATCTCTCTGTCTCTCTCTGTCTATCTGGTAAGCACACGAGCCCTGTAGCAAAATCCTCTTCAAAAAAAAAAGAAAAAAAAAAATATATATAAAAGAAAAAGAAGAAGAAGAAGAAGAAAGGAATGCAAATCTGAAAGCTGAGTGTGGTGGCACATGCCTGGAATCCCAAGAAACTTGGGAGGCAGAGGCAGAAGGACCACAGGCTGGAGGCTGTCCTGGATTATATAATGAGACCCTAAAACAAAAGAGCTAGACATGACAGCACACCCCTATGGGCCCAGGTAGGAGGCTGGAGGACCGAGGTTGTGAGATGCTGTCTTAAAAACCAAAAAGAAGTAGGGCCAGCAGGTGCCATGGTGGTTAAGGCACTGGACCACATCATGGTGGACTGTGGTTTGAGTTCCAGGTTTGGCAGCTTGGAAATCATGCCAGGCGTATGTGTGTACATGCCCAAAATCCCTAGAAAAGAATGGAGGAGAAGAGACTGCAGCATGGCCATCTTCTCTGGACGGTGAGTTCTCTCTCTCTCTCTCTCTCTCTCTCTCGCTCCCTCCAGCGAGCACACATGCCCTATGGCAAAAAGATGTAAGAAAGAGAGAGAGAGAGAGAGAGAGAGAAAGGGAAAAGAAATGCTTACTCTAAGGCCCATCCCAAATCTACTGACTCAGAAACTGTGTTGTTTAACCCAGAAATTTGTAAGCCTTCTAGATAATTATGATGCTAGCTAAGTTTTAAAAACTACTAGCTTGGGACTGGCAGGTAACATAGTGGTTAAGGTGCTGGACTCCCACATGGCCAACTGGTCTGAGTCCCAGACCCAGTGACTTGAAAATCATTCCAGGCACATATGCATGCATGCCCAAAATTCCGGAAAGAGAATGGAGGAGAAGGGATTGCAGCATGACCATCCCTCCTAGGGAGTGATTTCTCACTTTCCCTCTCACAGTCTCTGTCTCTCTCTCTCTGTCGAGCACACATGTCCTGAGGCAAAAACCTCTAACCCCCAAAAAAGTTGAATTAATTCAACCCAGATAGGTTAGACGAGAGGATAGTAGATCTCTTTAGAGCTAACTGCTACACTCTGTGCCTCGTGAAAATTAGAGCCACCTGAATTTCAGCCCCATTCGCCTCCTTGCCCTTGTGTTAGTCCAGTGCACAAACCGCACCCCCGTACGCAGTGGCGGCCCTGCGGTCCTTCCCTTCTAGTTAGACCCCCCCACACACCTCCAATACTTAATTTAGTCAAGACAAAAGCCATTGTGGAGGATTTCCTCACCCGAGGATTCATTTTGCATATCTTCTGAGTTTCCATATTTGGCTGTTATGAAACTATTTCCCTAAACACGCTTGATTGTGCGCGTGTTCATTGTAAAGTGCTATCGTTTCCATGTTGGAGGAGTTGAGTCTGTCTTCTCAAACCCTGGCTGGTCTTTCTCCGTGAGCCTCGGGTCTCTGCAGGACCAGAACGCTAACCAGGGAAGCAACGACACGCTTCAGAAGGTGGGTGACAGGGGAGGTGGGTTAAAACAGGCAGCCCGGCTTCACAAAGGCGTTGCCTTCCCTCCCAAACCTGACAGTCTCGAGAGGAACACGCAAGAGTGCCAGAGGGAGCCTGTCACCGAGTGGAGCCTCGCAAATGTCTGTAACACTTGGCTCTTCCCCAAAGGTGTGAGAGAGGGCAAGTTCTGACTGGT